GCCCAGCCACCAGGTGCTCGCCATAGTGCCCCACCTCCAGGCCTGGCTCCAGAGGGGGGCCCCCGGTGACCCGCGTCCGGGGGAGGGAACGCCAGATCCAAATTTCTTAAACATCATAAGGGGTCTTCGGGCTGCGCTTTTTCTGGTTCCTCACCTAGGACCTGTCTGCCTTGGGTGACCCTACCAGGGGCATAAAGCCCCAGACAGCAGAGCTCCTAGGATCATTGGGACACTCAAACCCCTCCACCACGATAAGGTGGCAGCCCAAGGAGAGGAGTCACTAACCTCCCAGTTTATAATACAAACGGAGAAGAGATCTTAATACCTAAAACATCCCACTAGGTTGGCTAATCAGTACTAATTTTCATGACTTGAACTGACCATTCCTTTTCTAGGGGGGCTCCCTCAAAACTTACTACCAGACCAACAAACCAAACAGGTTTTGTACACAAAACCCTCTCAGATTGTTGCCTTGTTCCCAGCTATTCACCTTAACCAAGACTCAGTACAACGTGACCTAACAGAAAAAGACAAACTGACGCTACAGACATACAACATCTTATCAGTGTGTCAATAAATCAAGACTCCAGACAACACTGTAGAGTCTTCTCCTCCTGAGTCGACACCGGTATCGGTTGAATCCCAAATAGACAAAGTGGTTGCTCAAGCAGACGCACTTGAAACAGATGAAGAAAAAGAAAAAAATTTGTCAGACCCTCTTAAAATATAAAGACTCATTCTCAATAGACCCACTGGACTGTGGACTAACCTCAATCCATACAGTCCACATCCCAACTCCTCCTGACTCACCACCTACCTACGTCAGGCAGTATAAAATCCCCTTGGCCGCTTATGAACTGGTCCAGGAAATTATTGACAATCTCTTAGACAAAGGCATAATAAGGCCCTGTAACAGCACCTACTCAGCTCCTTTATGGCCCATCTTGAAACCAAATGGTAAATGGAGACTCACCATTGACTACAAGAAACTGAACCAACAAGTTCCGTTATCCAGGTGGGCAATAACCCAACTCCAACAGGAACTACCAAATGTAAGAGATGCAAAATACTTTTCAACACTTGATGTTGCCTCTGGGTTCTGGACAATTCCAGTACACATAGCAGACCAACACAAACTGGCTTTCACCTTCGCTAGCCGCCAGTACACCTTTACCAGGTGTCACTTCGGCCATGCCAACTCTCCGGCGGAATTCAACATCTTCCTAAATAAGGCTTGCCCTGATGCAAATGAAAGGGGAACTCTTATTTCTGTGGATGACATCCTCATCCGACAACCTACTTTAGACTCTCATCTAGCTGAGATCGAACACATTCTTGACCAACTAACATCGGTTGGRGCCAAAATCTCACTTTTGAAATGTCAATGGTGCAAAACCAAAGTCGATTATGTCGGTCCACTAGTCAGCCCTAACGGAGTACAGCCTCAACTAAGCAGAACCCAGGGCATAACTACCATTAAAACACCTTCCATCCTCACAGTGCTGCGCAGTTTCCTTGGAGTATGCAACTACTCCCGACAGTTTATAGAAAACTACGCAGATCTGGCTAAACCACTAACAGAACTCCTTAAAAAGGACGTCCCCTTTATTTGGACTGAGACACAGKAACTAGCTATGGATGCTCTCAAAGCCAAACTGTGCTCAGCCCCTTGCCTCGTCTACCCAGACCAGGTCTACCAAATCCTGTATGGCCAAAATAATAAGTCACCTTTAGGCACAGACCTGGCAGCCTGCCAACAATGCACGCAAGATGTACCAACAACTGAAACCCCAGTTGAAACAACCACGATTGTAGA